GGAAATAGATATACAAGTCCAGGAAGCACATAGTGTCCCCAACAAGTTGGACCCACAAAAGACCACACCAAGACATATCATAAATAAAATACCAAAATTTAAAGATAAAGAGAGAAATTTAAAAGTAGCAGTAGAAAAGCACAGTTATCTACAAAGGAGTACCTATAAGAAAATCAGCTAATTTATTTTTTAACAATTTTTTAAAGATTTATTTATTTTTAGAGAGAGAATGGAGGGAGAGAGAGAGAGAGAAACATCAATGTGCAGTTGCTGGGGATCATGGCCTGCAACCCAGGCATGTACCCTGACTGGGAATCGAACCTGCGACACTTTGGTTCACAGCCTGCGCTCAATCCACTGAGCTACACCAGCCAGGGCAAAAATCAGCTAATTTCTTAAACATTGCACACAAGAAGAGACTGGCAAGATGTATTCAAAGTGATGAAAAGTAAGGACCTACAACCTAGATTACTCTATCCAGCAATGCTATTCTTTAGAATAGAAAGACCAATGAAGTGCTTCCCAGAAGGTGTAAAGCTAAAGGAGTATGTCATCACTAGGCCCTTATTACATAAAGTATTAAAGAGACTTATTTAAGAAAAAGATCAAAACTATGAACATTAAAAACGTAGCAAATTCAGAACTATCAACAACTGAATCTGAAATAAAACAAAGTAAAACACAAAAAACTAAGCAAACAGGAACAAGAATAGAATCATAGGTATGGGCATAATTTGGAGGATTAGCAGACGGGAAGGCAGAAAATGGGCAGAAAGATGCAGGGATTAAAAAGCACAATTGTAGGTAGAAAATAGACAGGAGGAGGTTAAGAATAGAATAGAAAATGGAGAAGACAAACAACTTATATGCATGACCCACAAACATGAAATAAGGTGGCAGGCATTGCTGGATGGAAGGGGTACTGGATGCAGTGCACTAAAGTGGAGTAATTGGAATGCCTATAATGAAATAATTAATAAAATATATGTAAAAAAATAAAAACTTTCTGTAGGATTTGGTGACACACCAGGACACACTTGAAAAACATGTCAATAAAAGGTTGTAAAATATAAGCAGCAATATAAACAAGCACATAGAGTAACTTCAAGCTAAGGGGTAGGGATGATTTTAGTTCTATAGGAAGAGACTGAACTGTGCCTGCAAATGACCTGACACCTGAGCTCTGCTTAGGGGAACATAGCTGTACCCACAGTTATTATTCCCTTTAACATGACCTACACAGTTTTTCTTATATACACTGCATCCTGAAAAGTGTACCTGTATATCTTCAGTAAGTGGGAAAGTCAATTTTACTTATGACAAGTGATAAATTACTATGAAAATGCAATGACAGCAAATTAATTCTCGAGTCCCAGGTAACTTACAAGGGCTGCTGAGGGCTACTCTTTGTGGAAAATGGATAATCAGTAGCACTTAGAAGGGCTTTAGAAATTCGGCACAAATTGAAGGCATTCTACTGACAACGAGGAGGACGAAATAAGGAGAAAGAGGTCAATTTTCAGACAGTGTCCACGCATGCCACCAGGTGACTTCAGATGGATTGTGTTGTTAGGAACATATCATAAGATCAGATTGCAAACATCACCAAGAACGCTGCATACTCATCCTGTTCTCAGAAAAGCAATCAGCTATAACAATGCTAATAAGGCTGTGCAAACATGCACCCAACCTGATTTGGCCAATTGGCCTGTCTCAAGCAATCAGGAGAAGAATCTCACTTTGTTCAGAAGGACTTGTGTCTAACGAAATATCTCTGGTGTGGACAGGGGGAGGCTGGAAAAGGGAATGTCACTGCTGAAAATGGTCAGGGCTGCAGGGAAAACATGGAGAGCCTCAATTCCTCATCCAACCAGTACTTAACAGAGTTGCAGGGGTGTTCAACCTTTATGCATCTCTGGTCTAAACTGGAAGAAGAATTGTCATCTTGGGCCACACATTAAATATATTGTGACATATAATCACAAAAAAATTCTTGTTTTCAGTAAATCTACGATTTTGTGTTGGGATGCATTCATAGCCATCCTTGGCTGCATGCAGCTTGTGGGCCACAAGTTGGACACCCCCGGAATACAGGATCAAGAGGAACTTTTACCGTGTGAAGAAGAAGCGAACACTCCACTAAGTAGATAACAATACAGTAGGTCTCCAGCACCACTTCTGAATACATACCAGGTATCATGTCCAGCTGTTCCCAATACTGCAGGGAGGATGTCAGCGATAAGTAAAAACATACTTGAAGTGGCAAAAAGAGTGGATAATATTCACCACAGTGCATAATATTCTAGCCTTCCATGCAAAAGTTAAGTGAATGTGCAGGAAAAAACAGCCATGAATCACTGGGGTCTTATAAGTGTGAGGTGTGTGCTAAGCTCAAAAAGGAGGTCAACAAAACACAGCTAAGGCTGAAAGTCGTTTCCACTGGAGAGAGCACTGGAAACTATAGACAGGGTTCCCATGAAGAGTATGAGGCAGATGTTAAGCACCCTAAGACATCAGAAAAATGTAGGAAATTCACTTTAATTAGAACAATGAAAACAGCAGCTAGTTTAGTTGCTCATGTCTCTGGCCTTTGCTGTCTTCCTACCTTGTGCTGAGAGGCCTAATATGCTATGATAGAGATTGTCGCCAGCCCTGAAGCCAGACAGACTCACATGTTCAAATCCGGCCACTTCAAACTGATAATTGTCTGCCCTGTAACCATGGAAAAACCCCTTCCTCCTCACCATCCTATTTTCTCCAGAAATATAATAACAGTTACTAATTCCTAGGGTGCTGTTAGGATTGAAAAAATAATAATGGTCAAAAACAGGCCCTGGAAAATTTTCATTCAGGTATAAAGGCTTCTCTTTCTTAAAAATATTTTATTCTCTGGGTTTTAGAGAGGGTAAGGAAGCAAGAAAGAGAGGGAGAGAAATATCCAAGTATAAAAACATTAATTGTTTGCCTCTTCCACTCCCCTAACTTGGGAACTGGATCAAAACACAGGCATGTGCCCTGACTAGGAATTGAAAACTCGACCTTTTGGCTTACCAGGCCACATTCCATCCACTGTGCCATACAACCCAGGAAAGGTTGCTTTTTAACTTAATTTACATATGAAAATATAGAGGTTTATAGGGTGATTCACTTTCCTGTAACAATATCTATCATCAACAATCTAAGATTTAAAATTAGGCTGCGTGGCCAACATATGGGGAGTCTAATTACTGTTTTCTTGTCTTTGGCTTCTGGGAGAGCTTTTAGACTCAACAAATACCCATTGATCCTCATACCACCTGGTGCACCTTCAAGTCCCGCTGCAGCCCAGCAACCTCAGATGAAAGACCACAGAAAGAACTAAAAACTAAAAGGCAAAAATTATTCATTATTTAATGTTTGAATTTACAAAATTATGAACTGTATTAATAATGCAGATTATTCTTCAAAGTGTATGATATGTTCCTACTACATTGTGTACAGCAAAGAAAAAATCAAAATAATTTGGATATGATTCCTACTACTAAAAACAATTTTTCATCATTCAATGAAACAAAACTTTTTTGTTATTCAAGGAGCAAAAGTGGGTGACACAACAACGTAGATCTTTCTTGTTTCACTCTCCTATTCTTTAAAGGACAGTAGCCCAAAACTATAAAAAAAAATAGGTAAAGTATGTGAGCACAGAATACACTAAAAACAAATCCCCATAACACACACTCCAGAAAATGCTCTTTGTAAATCTTACTGTAGAAAATGCAACGAGAACAACAAAAAGAATGTGACATATATATGAAAAGAGCTAAAATTATAAAAATTAAACCAGTCAAGATTTTAGTAAGGTCGGGGAATGCAGCCCTCATACACTGTAACTATGCATGCATAAAGGCACGATTAGTTTAGATCATATTTTGTTTGTTACTTCAAAATTTAAATATTAAACATCTGAGACAGCTCCACACTGTGAACACATAAAATTAAACTCAGACATTTTCAGAAAGTTTTCTTCAGTGTCATTACACTGAAAAAGAAAAAACAAAACACATTTCCTACAATCTAACATTTTACAAAGAGAGCTGTCTAACATCAGAGGGGTAAAGACTTATGGCTAAGGATGTCCAATGTTCATTTCATGCTTGAAGCCTTTAACCAGTGTGAACCACACATAACTCGCCTAAGGAAATGAGGTGAAAGATTTCCCACATTTCATGCCATCATAAAACCTATCTCCTGAGTAAATTCTCTGATAAGAAAGGAAAAACAATAAAAACACATTTTCCCACATTCCCTGTACCCATAAGGCCTTTCACCAGAGTGAAACTTGGAATATAATGCAGGATCGTGCTACAAAATAAAATTCTCATATTGCCTGTATATAAAAACATTTCTCCCGTGTGACTTCTCAGAAGATAACAAAGGCAATGGATAGATAATAAGAGATTTCCCAAATTTCCTTAAGTTATAAGAACTTAGACGTTGTGAATTTTCTAATGACAATAAAGGGAATGGCTACAGTTCAAACATTTCTCATATTCACATCACTTAAATTGCAGTTCTGCAGCATAAACTCTATCCTACTAGTGGAAATCACTGATACAAGAAAAACATTTCCCAAATTCACTGCAGGCATAAGGCCATTCTCCAGGGTAACTCTCTGATGACAGCCGAGGGGAATACTACAGAAAAAGTGTTTCCCACTTTCACCACACTCATGAGGCCTTTCTCCATGTGAAGTCTACAAGGATAAGGAAGATTAGTGATAAAATATGTCCCACGTTCTCTGCAGCCATAAAACTTTGCTCCTGTATATAGTCCCTGATAACATGATAGTTAATACAACAGAGAAAAGATTTCCCACATTCACCACACTCTTAAGTGTTTCTAGATGTGCACAATTTGATGGGAACTGAGGTGAGTGGTACACAAAAAGGATTTCCCCATTTACTGCTCTCATGAGTACTTTATCCAGTGTGAACACTTTGATGAAAGTGGAAGGCAGAGCTTCATGTACAAGATTTCCCCTGTTCACTGCACTCATAAGGCCTTTCTCCAGTGCGAACTCTGCAATGCAGACAAAGTTCAGAACTACTGATAAAAGATCTTCTGCATTCATCACACTTTAAGGGTTTACTTGAGTATGAACTTTCTGATGACGACGGAGGCAAAAGCTAAAGGTAAAAGATTTCCCACATTCACCACACTTATAAGGCCTTTCTCCAGTGTGAACTCGCTGATGACAATGGAAGGCAGAACTATAGCTAAAAGATTTTCCGCATTGACTGCACTCATAAGGCCTTTCTCCAGTGTGAACTCTGTGATGTAGACGAAGGTCAGAGCTATGAATATAGGATTTTCCGCATTCATTGCACTTATAAGGCCTTTCTCCTTTGTGAACACTGTGATGATGATGAAGGGAGGAGCTACGGGTAAAAGATTTCCCACATATACTGCATTTATAAGGCCTTTCTCCAGTGTGAATTCTGTGATGTTCACGAAGCCGAGAGCTATTGATAAAACATTTGCTACATTCAGCACACTTAAAAGGCTTTTCTTTTGTGTGAAGTATCTGATGATGACGGAGGGTTATGTTCTGCACAAAAGATTTCCCACATTCACCACACTTATAAGGCCTTTCTCCAGTGTGAACTCTCTGATGAACACGGAGGGAAGAAATTCTGGTAAAAGACTTCCCACATTCAGAACACAAAAAGCACTGTCTTCCAGTAAGGAATCTCTGGTCCTCAACAAGTGTGTCATCACAGTCAATGGTCTTCTTGCGTTCTCTTGGGGTGTAATATTTTGCAGTGTTAAAAGTCATTCCAGACTTGGAGGTTTTCTTTCCTTCGGGCATGGAGCAAGTTGCCAGTTGCTCACGATGTCCGGAATTGATGAGGAAGCATTCTCCAACCTGAAGAGAGGTACAAGCATCCCTGGACACATGGAAATTACAGCTGTTTTCAAGTGAGACCCTGTCCACACTGCTTATGAAACCATTCTGTGTTGTGCCCTGCTGGTGACTCTGTGCACTGAAATAAAATGGTTTCACACACGCCCCACACCTCAGCAGTGTTATGACCTGCTGGCCAAGCAAGAGGAATATATCTCTCAAGATGCACCCACAACTCTCACATGGGTGGCTCTTCTGGGAAGACACTTCTGACTTCAGATTCTTATCCTTTGAGACTCTTTCAGAAACATTCAATTCAGTGGGTGCCTCTACATCCTCTGCTTCACAGCAGCAACCTGAGGAAAAACAAACACTAGTGAAGTACATACTAACCTATAGGGAGAAGGTTTTCTCATCACTAATATGCATTGGTAACATCTGGCATGATGCTATGGGATAATCTCCAAGAGAAATGAGAGACTCAAAAAAGGCCCCCCAGATCTATAAGAACAGGCAACTCATAAACTGAAGGATACTAGGACATGGGGTAACTTAAGGACGAGAATCTGGCTTTACAAGTTATTCCTCTCTTAGGGGCTACCTGCAAAACCCTTCCTGCTTCAGTTGGAAGGCTGTGTAAAGGATATGAATGTGCCCAAAACCTTGAAAAGAAACTATAGCAGAACAGAAGTTGTGTTAGTTTTGTATAGAAATATGTGCACACTTCAAGGTGCAACATACATTGATCAAAATGGGAGAGCGCACCAAAATCACTCCTCAGACAATGCATTGTTCTGTAAAGGTTAGAGAGACAGAGCTTACCCATGTCTGGAAATCAAGAGTGTGAAGGAAAATTATTTAAAGTAACACTCTGGTAAGGTGCCAATACTGAGAAAGGACAAGTGCATTAAAGTTTGGCCACTGACAATGGTGATCAAATACATTTAAGAAAACAATGTTTCTCATTATGTTTCTTTTTTAAAAGATTTTACCTATTTATCTCTAGAGAGGGGGGAAGGGAAGGAGAAAGAGAGGAAGAGAAACACCAGTGTGTGGTTGCCTCTCGCATGCCCCCCACTGGGGACCCAGCCACAACACAGGTAGGTGCCCTGACTGGGAACAGAACCGGCAACCCCTTGATTCAAGGGCGGCACTCAGTCCACGGAGTTCCTCATTCTCTTTTAACCAAGCCTTGGAATCAAATTTTCCCCAACTGCCAGACCCCCTGTGAGCCCATCCTGTCATGGCTGGATGCCTGTCCCTCTTGTGATACACAAAGGAGTCTTCCATGTCCCTCGCCGGTGAGCAATTATGTGGAATGCAGATGATAAAACTCCAAAGAGAAAGCAGAAGAGGTGAATAACCAACACTGTCATAGAACAACTCTGCACCAAAAAAGCAAAAGTTAAAGATCTACATGAGTGACCATAGCAAGGTGGCAGAATAAAAAATACAAGTATTCAAACCCCTTCAAGAATAATTAGACAATTATCCTTGTTAAACAGCATTCCTTCAGGAAAGGGGAAGAGGCTTAAGAGACCTGTTATTTCAAAGAGCTACAAGTAGGAGCATAATACATCAGGCTATGCAAAAGAACAGCAGGAAATAGCAGGAAAGTCTGGCTCAGCAAACAGGGAAAGATTCACAACACAAGAGTAAGAATTTCTCGGAGAAACTGTGTTTGTGCTACCGTTGACTCTAGTGGCCTGTTTTGTGCCATGAAAGACTCAAGGGATCCCTAAATATTTGGAAAACCACAGCCCTGGCCACTGAGGACCCCTTCAACCTTCACAACGCTGACCTTGGTCATGGGGCAGCAAGAAGAATGGGATGTGAAGCTTCTCATCAGCCCCAAACACAACACACCACCTAGTAAGCATCCTTGTGTGCATATGCAGATAAAACTACTTCTCTAAACAGAATTGGTTCATGAAGTCCCAAAAAGTAACTCTTCATCAAATATCAGACATCAACACTCAGACAAACAGATATATGAAAAAAAAAATCACAAAAGGAACATCACAATGTTGAAGTAAATTATGCCCAAATATGGAGGTATATAAATTGCCAAAAAATAATTCAAATAATCATTTATAAAAAATATCAGTGAAGTACAAGCAAAAATACACATGGAACTCAACATAATGAACAAGCAAACATGGGAACAAAACATGAGGAATAGAGAGACAGAAATCATAGAAAAGAGTGAAGCAGAAATTTGAAGTTGAAGAATATAATGAATAAAATGAAAAATGCAAAAGAGTTTCAAAAGCAGACAAGATCAAGGACTAAAAAAATACATTACCTCAGAGGCAGGTGATTTAAAACCCTCCATGTAAAAAAAAAAAAAAAAAAAGATAAATGTGAGGACATCCTTTGTGCATTTTGGAACACCAGAGAGAAAACCTATATCTGCATCATGGGGTCCCAGAGGAAGGAAAAAGAGAGAAAATGAGAGAAAAATGGGCCCTGGCTGGTGTAGCTCAGTGGACTGAACGCAGGCCTGCAAACTGAGGGGTTACTGGTTCCATTCCCAGTCAGGGCACATGCCTGGGTTGCAGGCCAGGCCCCCAGTATGGGGCATGCTAGAGGCAACCACACATTGAAATTTCTCTTCCTCTCTTTCTCCTTCCCTTTCCCCATTCTCTAACAATGAATAAATAAAATCTTTTTAAAAATATGAGCTAAAGATTGATTTCACTCAGTGGATTGAGTGCGGGCTGCGAACTAAAGCATTGCAGGTTCGATTCCCAGTCAGGGCACATTCCTGGGTTGCAGGGTATGGCCCCCAGCAACCGCACATTGATGTCTCTCTCTCTCTTTCTCCCTCCCTTCCCTCTCTAATAAATAAGTAAAATTAAAAAAGAAAAGAATGATTTCAAAATATGAAAAAATATAAGTAGCCATTCTAGATCTTTCCAGATCCCTGCACATATTCAATGCAAATAAGATTTCAGCATGACCATATTATAAGAGTGTCAAAAAGCAAAAGCAAAAAAAAATGTTTGAAAGACCAAAGACAGTAGAAACTCCTCATGAAAGGACACCAATCCCAGAAGGGAAGCAATAGATTTCTCTGAAGAAACCTTGCAGCCTTGGAGATACTCAAATGATAGCTTCAAATCACTGAAAGGAAACATCTGCAAAGCACAATACTTTATCCCAAAAACCTCCTCCTCAGAAATAACAGGAAAAATAACTTTCCCAGAAACAGAAAACGTGAAGAATTTAGTGTCCACTCATCATGACTTTTAGATATGAAAAAAAAAAAAAAAGATCTTGCAGCTGAAATAAAGACAAACTACATAGAAACAGGAAACTGTGTGAAAGTGTAAAACTCTCTGGTAAGGTTGGGATGTCATCAGGTTCACAATACTAAGAGAGTTCATTGGTGGACTGTACTTTATTTCACTCTACTTATAGGATAAAAGTAAAGTGTATTAGGAATAACAATGGTGACAATATTTGTGCATAGATACACAATATAGAATGATGTGAAGCGTGACATCAATACATATAAAGGAATAGTGTGGCGGAGAGTCAAAGTGTAAAGTGTTTGCATGCAGTAAAGCTGTTTTTGGTTACAATGAACTGTTAAGAGTATGAGTTTTATGTAAGTCTAATCAAAACAAACCACAAGCACAATACTGTGTAATAGGTACACAAAAGAGAAGGGAATAAAATCACACATACACACACAAGACAACCAAATAGGAAGGCAATAAAGGAACTCCACTAGAGTCAGAAAACATGACAAGGAGGCAACAGTAGGTTCTTCAAGAAATTTTCCAATCAAGGATACAGAGTTGAGGCAGGAGAAAGCATAGGAAGAATTCTGAGATTGTAATACTGTTACTGGCTAGCATCTAGCACCCTGGTTGCCAAGAAACACCTTTTACCAATGAGGTAAATTAAATAGTAAACCCAGGCAGAGGGGAGGAAGGAGACAGGTCTCACATGCTAACTCAGCAGTCCTGAGCCTGGTCTGATAGTATTGCCAGGTGTTCCAACATCACAAGAAACACTATGTTAGCAAGAAAGAAGGGAAGTCCTTGAAATTTTATGTAGCATTTCCATTATCTGGGAAAGAAAGCCTTGAAGCTGTGCTTTCATCCCAAGGCCTGGAATGTGGGAGAGTGTCCATGGTGCCCAAAGAGGAAGCCCATAAAACAACTTTGGTTGATTGCCTACCTCTGGTCACTATCTGTTTTACGAGGGAGTCTCTGGTGCTTACAGAAAGAGCCCATAATAACTTTGGAAAGTGCTCCAATTTTAATTAACTGCCTCCTGTCACGTATTTGTTTTACAACAAGATGAACAAATGGAGTCTGGAGCAAGATAAGGATTCGAGCTAACAGACCCCCACATGTACCTAAGTTTGGGTAGTCACATTCCCCTAGGAAAGCTGGCACCACCTTCACCCGTTAATCAATATGTAACTTTTTCCCTCCTATCTCATCAACTACGTAAATCCTCAGAACAAAGGACTCTCTCTCTCCTCTGTCTGTCTGTCTGTCTGTCTCTCTCAGGCTCAGGGCACTCTAGGTGATCTTGGCTCCCAGGCCACTGGGCCTTGCCACCCTGGTCTTCAGCCACCCTGCTTTGCCCTGAAATTTTGCCTGTCACCCCCTACTCTACCCTGTTCTCTTCCATGGGAACAGGTCACTAATAAACTGATTGAAGGCAAATAGATTTGCTTATTTGTAATTCTTCACATGTGTCAGCAAGAAGAACCAGGTCTCTCCCGTTAACACTGTGACTTAGTTTATTAAAATTTGGGGCAATGAGAAAAAAAAAAACAAACCTACAGATATGTTCAGTGGTAAGCCCAAGACCAGCTGCTGCTGTCCACCTCTCCCTGAATACAAGGGTGGTCAGGACCCTTAGAGCTTAGGATAGAAGAAGCAAACTGCAACCCTGAGGAAGGGGTGGACAGGCAAGAAAAAGAAGAGTGTGTAGGGAGAATGAGTGTCTTACCCAGCGATGATATAAGAGCATAGTTCTCCAGCATCACACTGAGGTACAGGCGTCTCTGAGCTTCATCCAGGAGAAGCCATTCTGTCCTGGAGAAGTGCACGGCAACGTCCTCAAAGGTCACACCAACCTGTCAGAATGAACACAAATGAATCTGGAACGGTCTGTCTGAGACCCCATATTCTAGTCATCCCCATGTCCAAACCCTTGCATGGGCCCCACCCGTAACCCCGTACTGAGAAGACTCCAGCACTTGGTGCCAGAGCTGCCTGCTGTCTCATCACAGTCTCATTCATCTCTCACGTGTCCTCAGCAAAGGTGGGCAGGATGAGAAAGTGGGGCAGATGAATGCCATCTAAACTCAGGGCTCCTTTCTTCCTGCTAAACAATTCCATTGAGTCTCCCAGATCATGCCTCCAAAACACAGCCATTTATGGGCTTAGGTCTCACCCTTAAATCCAAACACCAAGAACCCAGGGCCATTACCTCACACTTCCTCTAGCTGTGCACACACTGTGTGATCTCTCCCTGCTTCACAGCTTCCAACCCAGGTTCAATCCCTCAGCTCTGCCCCCTTCACCCTCCTGCACAAAAGAGCCACCACTTTTGTATGACTCCATCCTCGAACCTCCCACAGATTTCCAGCTGCATGTGTTACCTGCTCACAAGATGGTTCCACTCACTGCTCTTTGTAACTGATAAAAATGTGAACCAAAAGAACCTTCTGCTATTCCCAGAGAATATTAAGCTACCACCATCTTTCCTAACCCAGTGGATGGAGCCTCCACTGCTTCAGCTGCTAGCACCAAAATCACTGAGGTGGTTTTGAACCCCTTTCCTTTCTTCCTGCAAATGCAAAATCTGAAACTGTACTTGCCCTTTTTTAAAAATGTAAAAGGTGGGGTGTGGATGGGGGTGGAGGATGAGGGAGATAAACGGTAAGGGGAAAAAATAAAATTAAAAAAATGAAAGATGGACCAAAATTCCAACCTTTGCTCCTATCTCTGAGGCCCAACTCGGGTCCATCAGCTCTCCTCTGGGTCATAGAACTCACCTGGTCCAAGGCTCCCTGCCTCCTCCATGAACCCCCATACTCTGTTCTCCACTAGGCAGCCAGAGGGAGACTGTTTAACCCAGGAGAGACCGACTCCTGCCTCTTTTGCAAATACCCTATTTTCTCCCTAATAGATATCCAAATGATCATTTGTCCACTTTCAAGTCTGATTTTTTTTAATCCCTTGTGCCTTGTTTTTAACATAAGGAAAGAGACCTGAGGGATGCATTCCCAGCTCTGTGGCACATCCAAGCATTTGCAGGTGCAGGTGCCCCTTCCCAGTAACCTGCCTTCAGTGCTTACTCTGGCTGCCTGCACAGACCAAACAAGCAAACAAACCAACAAAAACCAAACCAACAAACAAGCCAACAAAAAACAGAAAAAGGGCAGGGGGCACAAAATAAACCTGACCAGCTTGGTGGAGTCTAAGTCCTTATGGCCTTACAAATTAAGACACTGATATCACCCCTATATGTCGTCTGAAATTAAAACATTCTAACTAAAAGTGAGTCATGGTATGTAGTCATGTCCTAGGTCTGTATCTTCCCTGAGGAAGGTCAATTATCACCTGAACTGAGATGATCTTTGTATTTTTACACCATGTTAACATACCTTTGGAATGTCAGGATAATTTATTTTTTTTTCTTATCCCTCAGGGCACAAACTCTGCATGACAGCAGAGACCAAAACAAACAAACAAACAAAAAACAAAAAACCCTCGGTGTTATTATTGTGTTAAGTAATTAAATATTAACTATTTTATATCCAGTATTGTAAAAGAATTATGTCCACTCATTTTCATCTTGTATTTACTATCAGGGATTTTCCTGCTTTGTTTTCTCTCATCTCCCTAACCTGTCACTAATGGATATCTAGTTCCCAACCAAATATCTGCCTTTTGTATTCTGATGTATAAACAAGTGGTAAAACTGTGATTTTCCAAAGTATTTTCACACTCTGCTGAGATTTTGTTTCCTCGAAATCACCTTCAGTTTGGCTTAAATAAACATTTAAAAATGTCTCTACAGTTTGAATATTTTTTGCACTGACACCAGAAATGCGAACACCTTGATATTTCCTGGGACCTGCACTCAGGATTGGGGTATCCCCAGGGTCTGCTCATTTGAAAGCTGAAAAATTACTAAGGGAAGAGTCTTTAGACACTATAAGGTAATGCCACCACCAAGTAAGGACAGGGACACCCTGTCCTTTGTCCAGTCAAATAGTTATTCTCAACTTCTGCACCTATGGGAAGACGCAATCAACCACCCTTCAGCTCCTGGTAAGCAGGTCTCAGCTGTACCTCAGCCCATCCCTGGAGCCTGGTGACCTTCTCCTCAGCACGGCCACTTTCTGTTAGAACGTACTGGGACAGGGACCTAAGCCATCACTTATGCTGGAACAAAGAAGGTGTGAGTCACCAGCTAAATACCTGCCCACGAGGTTCCCCATATCAGAAGCAACTGAGGCATAGCCTCTGGCATCCTGCTGGAAACGGGTTGAATCCTCACTGCCCCTCCCCTCTCCCTCCAGCTTTCTACAGAACCAGCCCTCCCTGATCAGATACCCAGGACACCTGGAGCAGATCAGCTGCGTGACTCACCCTCCCCTGGGGAGGTCTGCTACAACTTTAAAAATGCTTCTCCCCTTCCCCTTATGGCTGCGCTCAGTTCAGACCCAGCCTGCCAGACCTGTCTCCCACCTTGCATAAAAGCCCTTAATTGGGCTTTTTTGGCTCCAGGTCCTTTCTTAGCCACCTCCGTTGCCTAACATTTTGGTGCTGAAACCGGGACATCACCTCCAGCCTCCTGAGGCTTGGGACTAGGGGAGAAGTGGGGAACAGAATCTCATCCCTGGGTAACCCCCTAGCCCTGTCTTGGTGAGGTTTGGAGACCTGGGAGCCAGGTCAATAACTCGGGCAGACCCACTTGTCCAGCCATCACCTCAACATCGGGACTCTCTCATGGCAAGGGAATAAGCCTCTGTTCCTTTCCGGCTCACCCTTTTCTGCACTGTCACCTGGGACGACATTCCAGAAAATCTTGGAGCAGAGCAGGGAGCTGCCTACGGGTGCAAGAGCTCAGTGTGGGTCTGGGACCTGCCAGGAGAATGGGTCAAAGGGATGCCCTTTTCTCAGTCTCCTCCACTTGGCCTCACGGACCAGGAGACCCTGAGGAGGGGACACCCCTTCAGTGGTCCTCGGTGCAAGGAACACTTATCTTCCTTACCTTTATCTCCAGCATGGGGGCCTCTCAATCTCGCCTTCCATGAGACACTCCCTGGGGTGTCTAACTTTAAAAAATTAAACCTAACACCCAAAATCTGACTGAAGAGCCTCATTTTCTATTGTAATAATGCCTGGCCTCAATATAAATTAGACGAAGGGTCCATTTGGCCTGAAAATGAGTCCTTTGAGCCTCAAATTCTTACTGATCTTGACAACTCCTGTCATCGCATGGGCAAGTGGAGTGAACTGCCCTACGTTCAGGTGTTTTTCAACCTGTGCAGGTGCCCCTCCCTCTGTCAACCCTGTTCCACTCACCAAGTCCTGCTTCTCCAATCCCCTCTACCCGAGTCCTCACACTCTGACTCTACTGACCCTCCTTTCTAACCTGCCAATCACTCTTCCCTCTGCTCCTGTCTCGCCCCCTCCCTATGGCTCCCCCAGGCCCTTAAACCTGACCCTCTGCCACCTTCCCCCCATTCGTCCGCTCACCCAGGTCCCAGTTAATCCCTCCCTTCACCCCACCAAACACGGTCCCAGGGTGACCCTCCCACTGTGGGGTATGCACTCCATGTGCCCCCTTAGGGAAGTCGCTAGGCCCCAGGGTCCAATTTGAGTCCACGTCCCTCTCTCCCTCTCCCATCTCTCTCAGGTCGAACAGAAATTAGGATCCTGCTCCTCTGAACCTACGTGCTTTGTTAAGGAATTTGAATGAATACCTTACTGGCTCTTATGACCTTACTTGGAGGGATCTCTACATCATTCTTTCCACCTGCTGTCCCCGGAGGAGAAGGAACAAGTTTGGTTAGTGGCTCAGACCCATGCAGAGGCTTTAAACAGATAAAATCCTAATAGTCCAGTGGGTGCTAGTGGAGGGCGGTGAAGGCTGGCGTCATACAGCCGGAACCCACAGGGGCTAAGGAGATGGTTAAATAGTTAACAACAAGCTTCAGCTGAATGCAGCTGTAACTTTTGCAGAACTAGATATCCTTTAGATAGCCCGGGAACGGAGCAATTATGCCTGCAGTTTTTCCCTGAGCCTGTGAAACGTCCTTGAGCTTTATTCAACTACCTCTTATAAAATAAACGTGGAGACCGGGTTCAGGGTCGTTGTCTCTCCATCAGAGGACGATGTCCCACCTGGTCCCCGTTTTTCCTTAAACTGTCTGTGTCTGTGTCTTTCTTAACCTCCCACTGCCCCCCTCAGGGACCTCCTCCCCACGCAGGTCCCGGCAGGTGCTACTGCCATCCCACTTGAAGAACCTGATGGGGATCATCAGGATGGGAGACCAGGCAGGTGGACTCATAGTCATATGATCACTTGCCTAATTGCTGGCCTCAAGTTCTCCGCAAATAAGGGAGTCAATTATGACAAACTTAAGGAAATTACACAAGGATTGGATAAACACCCCGCAGCCTCTCTGTTCTGTCTCTGGGACACCCTCCAATGGTTCACTAACTTAAACCCAGACTCCCCAGGAGGCAGCCTACTTCTCCACAAGCATTTTTCCTCATAGTCAGCCCTAGACATAAGGAGAAAGCGTCAGAAGCTTGATACTGGCCCCCAGACTGGACAGACTGAACTAATGAACCTGGCCTTTAAGGTCTTTAACCAAAGAGACGAGGAACAAGCACAGAAAAAGAAGGGGAGAGAGGAGGCAAAGGCCAAGTCTGGTCATCAGGCTTCAGGCTTACCAGCTCCTAGCCTAGACCCTGAAAGACACCCAATGGCTGCCCAACAGAAAAGGCAAAGGGAAAGGAAAACCTCCCCTGAGGGGTTGCTTTAAATGTGGCAAGCCAGGGCACTGGGCCAGGTGCCACCCACAGCCATGGCCTCCACCAGGGTCTTGTCCTCTCTGTAAACCAGAGGGCCATTGGAAGTCTGACTGTCCCCAGGCCTCTCAAGGCAAGGGGATATAGGTTACTCACTTGGATCGGACCTCTGGTTTTGAACTCGCAGACCTTGTGAGGTTAGCGGCAGCAGACTGAAGGTACCTGAGAGCTGCCATAGGCCCCACAACCATCTCTGTGGCAAAGCAGGGAAGCCAATATCCTTTCTCATAGGCACAGGGCCACTGACTCTGCTCTTCCTGAATATTCTGGAAGACCTGTTCGTTGCTCAGTTTCTGTTCTTGGGGTCAGCGGTATAATTTCTCATCCCCTAGCTACCTCCCCTTGGACATGTTCTTGGACACTCCTTCATACTCCTTCTTAATACTCCCTCGCTGCCTGACACCAATTCTACGAAGAAAATCCTAGCCAAATTCCTTTTCCTCCCAGTCCTCGGGGGTTCTTTTTGCTCTCTCTAGCTAGTTCCAGACCTCACAAGTCACTACCCCTCCCAGCCACAGAATTACACCCTGTAGTTTGGAACACTGATATGCCCGTTATAGCTAAACACCAAGCCCTAGTTCGGATCTCCCTCCAGGATCCTTCCCACTTTCCAGCATGGCCTCAGTAACCCCTAGCAAGTGAGGCCCTACAAGGAATAGAACCCATCACAAGCCACCTCCTTCATGTAGGATGACCGCAACCTACAACCTCCCCATGCGACACCCCCATTCTCCCAGTCCAAACGCCTAATGGCGCTTCTCATGTAGTCCAGGACTTATGAATCATCAACCAGGCTGTTATTCCCCTCCACGCAGGAGTCCCTAACCCATACTTTTCTTTCTCTTAGTCCTCCAAACACCACCTATTACTCTGTCCTCAACCTCAAAGACACATTTTTTTCCCCATTCCTTTATACCCTGACTCTCAAAATCGCTTCACATTCACTTGAACTGACCCTGACACCCACATCTCCCAACAACTTATTTGGACAGTGTTATCCCAGGGAGTTTGAAACAGTCCCCACCTTTAAGGGTAAGCCCTGGCTAGGGATCTTAAAGCCACTGATCTCTCCCCATAAACCCTCCTACAACATATTGATGATCTCCTGCTCTGCAGCTTGACCCTATAAGACTCACAGACTCACATGGCCCAACTTCTTAATCACTTAGGACAAGTAGGTTACCGAGTTCCCCCCAATAAGGCCCAACTATCCAAATCATTAGTAATATGTCTAGGATTTACTGTATCTTCTGGACACAGAGAGAGCACCCCTGCCTGGAAGACTCTCATTACCTCCATGCCAATTCCTACAACTAAACAAGACCTCCTTTCCTTCTTTGGCTTGACTGGATATTTTAGAATCTGGATCCTCCACTTTGGCCTCATAGCTACATCACTGTATGATGCTGCCAAGGGCCCACTAAATCAGCCCCTGCCACCAAAGAGGTCAGTTGGCTGGCTGGGTTGAAGAGCTAAAGAACGCCCTAACAGAAGCTCCAGCTATAGCCCTCTATAACCTAGAAAAGCCTTTTATTCTTTATATGGACAGAAGGCCAGGAATATCGTGAGGGTTGTTTGGGACAAAAACCCTGACCTTAAAGTAATTGCCTACTTATCTTGGCAGCTAAACTATACAGTTCAAGGCTGGCCTACATGCCTGAGGGCCCCGGGTGCCACAGCGATACCTATGACAGGGGCCCAAGAACTTACCTATTCTCAACCTATAACTGTCCACTCCCCCCACATAATAGCAGCTTCATTACCAAACAGGCAGAAAAATTTCTGCATCCCTCAAGGCTACAGCAATTCTTCCTAACTTTACTCCAGGCGTCCCAAGTAAAAGGAGCTAGAGGCACCACCACAAATCCTGCTACACTCGTCCACCTTCCAGAAGCCATGGGAGAGGAACATTCCTGCACTGAGTTCCTGTTCACCATCATTTTGACTTTTCACATATTTCTGAATTGCCTTTCTCTTCCCCAAAAGATACCTGGTTCCTAGATGGGAGCTCATTCATGAACACGGGTCAGCACAGGGCTGGATACGCTATTGTATCCTCCACCCAAGTCACTGAGACTAGTAGCCTCCTTCTACCAGGGACATCCTCACAACCAGCTGAGTTCATAGCCTTAATTCGAGCCCTCAGACTAGCAAAGGACAGAAAAATCAACATATACACTGACTCCAGATATGCCTACCCTATTTTACACTCACATGCCTCCACATGGGCAGAGAGCAGTTTCCTCACATCCAAAGAATCCCCCATTACCAATGCAGACCTCACCTCTAAACTCCCCTTAGCGGCACATCAAACTTCTGAAATAGCAGTCATGCATTGCAAAGGAAACCAGGGTGACACGTCTGCCATGTCACTCGGGAATGAGCGGGTAGACAAACACGCGAAATAAGCAGCCACCCTTCCAGCCTCTAAATACCAACTCCTAGCTCTCCCTACTGTAACACCAAGACACACTCACAGAGAAATTAAACTTGTACAACAAGGGGCAGTCTGGGAAGACGAGTGGCTCACCAGTGGGGGGCAATTAATACTTTCCCTAAGCTGAAGAGAAGAATTCCTCTCTCATTTCCACAAAGCCCTCCATGTAGAATCCTGGCCTCCGTATATGCCATCTCCCTTCTCCAAACCATCACTCGTGTAACAAAACATGTGACAAGCATGCTCCAAACATGCCTGTACCTTTAAAAAGAGTGTGGTTTTTACATAAACAAATCAGAGCAAGTCCAGCAGAACACTCAAAGTATTCTTGAGTCTGCCTCTAAGATCGGGACCTTCACCCCCTCTTGGGACCCCACCTCATGGCTCCCCATTATGACCTGATTATTGCCCTACTTAGGTTCCCTATTCATGATACTTCTTCTACTCCTGTTTGGCCCATGCCTATTTAGCCTGCTTACGAAATTGACATCATCCAGATTAGACCAGCTCAAAAAACAAGTCAGAACCGTCTTCTACTTGCAAGATCAGAATCCCATATAGGCCCAGGCTGGACTCCTAGATATGATCTAAAGAGGACTCTCCAACTCTTGTCAGCATTGAAGTAGTTACTGAAGAAATTCGGTGACCCTTTTCCCAAATAAAACAGAAAAAGCCTGGGATGTTAGAATGTAGTGGGACATGAACCTAAGCCACTGTCTTTGCTGGAACAAAGAAGATACACGTCACTACATACCTGACCACGAGATTCCCCTTATCAGAAGCAGCTGAGGCATAGCCTTAGGCATCCTGCTAGAAGCCGGTTGAATCCTCACTGACCCCTCCCCTCTCCCTCCAGCTTTCTACAGAATTAGTCCTCCCAGATCAGATACCAGGACCTCGTGACTCACCCTCCGCAGGGCAGTCCGCTATGACCTCAAAAGCCTAGACTTCTACCCTTTCCCTTGCGGCTGCCATTCGTTCAGACCCAGCCAGCCTGACGTCAGTGTCCTGGCTTGAATAAAACCCTTTAATTGGACTTTTCTGGTTCCGAGTTCTTTCTTAGCCACCTCAGCTACTTAACACGAACTCTGGGACCTTTAACAAGGGCCCTTCTTCCTGTGTCTCAGTGTGCTCATCACCACACTCCAGTGGGTTTTCTCAGAAGGACCTAAAAGGCTTTCAAAACCTTCACACAGCCTGTGTCTCTCTTGGTTCTCTTCCATCCCGGGCTCCCAGGACCATCGGAAAGAAGGTGCGACCCCTCCGCCTCAGACTTTTTAGAGCAGATGTAAGGCCAAGGCCACGTGTGCGGGCCTTTTGGGGTCAACGACACCTGCATGTGTTTAAAAGGCGGCACCACGGTGGGTCACCCTTGCCAAACCCCTCACACTGAGTGTCAGCCATGAACACCTATGATCCCAGATGCAGGGGCCTGGGCTGCAGGCTGTGAGGGGCGCCCGGTCTGCAGGGTTCAGTGGGCTGAGGGCAGAGGACCCAGGGGACTTGCACTCACCTCAGCCGTGGGCCTCAGCGTGGTTGCCGCCATTGGATTCTGTGGCAGGAGAGGGGCGGGTGCAGTGGGCAAGGAGGCTGTTCCTGGTATTGTGGTTACTGTCGCAACCCTGTTGCTGGACACCGGGGCAGCGTACTTGGCCTCACTCCTGTGGGGAGCAGCACACTGGGGCCTTCTTTCTGTCCTGTGACCACTACACCCGGACCAGGTAATAAGACAGAAAAGAGGAAATACTGGCCAGGAAACCCAGGGAAGTCCCGCCCTACAGTGTGGCCCCAGGGGAAATACATTTTCTGAGTCTTTATTGACTCAGCTTTGTGACATTCCACGCCTGCCTTCTGGGTAATGTAGGTTGTACACTCCAAGGTTGGGGTCCTGTATTTCCGGAGCTATCTCCAGGTGAGGATTTGCGGGTTTACGCCCCAAGAATACCTTCAGAATACTAAATCCGCTCCATAGCCACCAGGGTGGATATCATTTCTTGGGCAAGGAAGAGTCTGGTATGCCTGCTGGACCTTTGAGTCAGGCCATGGGGCCCATGCCTCGCTCAGGCCGATTGTGGTTAGGGACATTGCCCGAGTCCCTAATGCTGTCTATCCTGCATCAGGAGGACCCACGATGCAAATGATTACACTATTAGTGTAATAAATAATACACTAATACTTAAGTGTATCTGTGCCTGATACAGCCAGAAGTCTTATCTGCCTGGATTGCAGTGTGACTGGATTCCTCACTGATTTGATCAGAAGCCTCCAAGTTAAATTACGGCCTAGAACGGAATTCAGCCCAGAAAGTGCATGTAAAGTTCGAGACCAACGAAGTGAATATGCTCATAAAATTAGTGACGCTAATTAGTTTGTTCTGAACTGCATTTTGTAGTTTATTAAATATGCAATAACATTAGGTAAAATAATAGCAATATACATACCTTAACTTAAAAATATTTAATTGATTAAAAAATGTACACGATTATCTGAAGCTTCGTTGAGTTGCATACAATCTTTTGCTTGTGGGGGGGGTCTTGCCTTTCTGTTGATGAAAATACATGTTCTCTGAAGCTCAATAAAGCACACTGCAATAAATGGGTGTGTGCCCAAGGTAGCGAATCAGGGAAATAGACTAACATCCTAGTTTCCCATCACATATATGACAAAAGTGTCACAGGGATACAAGACAAACCTTTGAAAATGAAAAATAATAATATCAACACAAATGGGAACCTCCTTGTAATTTCAGTATCAATGAAGATAAATTGATTGTTAGGAAATTGGCAGAAGTAAATACTTACAAAGTTGTTGGTACTTTGTTAGGGTGAAAACTGTATTGTAATTATTATAATGAAAGAGATGGTGAGTTACAGACATAGTTGTTGATTTATAGGTGAGATTGTGGCAGGAAAAGAAAACCCCCATGAAAAAGCTTCTATGCTCTGCAGCTTCTTTGATAAGCAAAGGTGTTCTCTGTAACACCTGCAAAGTTTCACAGTGCCTTTTGTTTAAGTAGGAGCTGACCAGCAGTCGTTACCAAGGTAACAGTTATCTCAAGGTCAAAACACTGACTTTCGCTTCTGCTTCTGTATGCTTGCTTTTTAGCAGTTGCTCCCTCCTCCCTTTCTGCCTGTGTAACTAGTATATAAAGAAAAGTCCAACTTTAGCTCATTTGCTCAGGATTTGGGAATTTAACCCCTCTGAGCCCTCGTGAGTAATAAAGGATCAGGCTTCGCCATCTCCCCGAGTATGAGTGATTTTCTGCAACAAGATGATTAGTATGGCATTGTCAATTCAATAAGATTAGGAACATATTCAAGACTTATACTTAGAGTAAATAAAGAAATATATATCTATAATGAAAGTTGACCTATATGTAGCTGAGAATTCTTTTCCATTACATGAGATATTATAATGAACAGGAAAGTATGGGCTCTGGCCTGGTAGTTCTGGAACTGGAAAAGCCAGCATTCAGGCTGCCTGACACCCACCAGACCCAACAAGCAGACACAAGGAGTCAACCTGTACGGGCACCTTATTCAGATGGCCAGTGATCTCAGAAGACGCAGGTTTGTACCCTAACAAACCATCTTTCCTTTCCTTTCAAGCCAGCTTTTTTTATAAGGGGGAAAACGTATATGTAAGGGATTTGGAATTCAGGAAGGAGGTTTATCAGATAAAAGCTGCAGTCTGGCAGTGTGACTACTATTCTTTCATCAGCTAACCAGTGATTTTCTTTATCTGTGTCCTGGGCAGTATATGTCTCTCCCTAGAACACAATGGCTCAGATGCCACCTTCATTGCCTCTGGACCACAAAGGCCAATTTCTTGTTGTCTCCTGGAGTCAAGCTGGGCTGTACCTGCAGTTCCTGAAACAATAGCTTTTTACATGCATTAACTACTAGGCTTATTAACTACTATCTTAAACTAAAATTTTCCAACTCTTGAGTCCCTCATCATTCCCTACTGTTAGTTTTAAACTATCTGATTTCTGTGAGATCAGTTTCATATAGAAGTATTCATTTTGCTGTTGAGCATGTATTTTAGCATTAGACTATATGGTAGGGAGTTTATGTGGATCTAACTGTAGACCCACATAAGGGGGCACATTGTATGCAGCAACAAGCTATGACAAAGAACAAAACAGTTTTTAGCACTTTTGACAAAAGGTGCACACTCTCCAGCTGGGACTACATTAGAGACTTTTAAGAATAACATTTCCCTATCCTTTAAAGTTACCACAGGTTTCCGATTACAAATATCAGAGTAGGTTATTTTCTTACTGATATGCTTAAACAAAGTGTAGTTTCCAAGGCTTCTCAGGGGAGTACAAACACCTATAAGACATGTAGTGAATGTTCGGTTCAATGTAAGCTCCTCCTGCAAGACAAAAGTCAGAAATATTTACAATATTTTTTGCTAAATATACCCAAATATTTTCATCTCATTTGAAAGGAATAAGTTGTCTATAACAGGTGGTCAAACAAGAAGTAATGAAAAGAACATAAGTCATTATTTTGGAAAGATGGCTTTCAGGTCTTCTTGAGATTAAGAGGTCCATTGTTCCTCTAGTGTTTTCTTTACTCTGGTGTGATGAATCCAAAATTTTATTCCTACCAACTTCACCGAGGGGTGAGGGGTGAGGGGTATGTCCCAAGGTCCCATGCACTTTTCTTCTAGATGGCTCTCTGGAGATCCTGTCTAAAAGGTCATGAGTAGCACCTTGTCTCCAGGCTCAAAGGAATGTAGTGAACCTCTAGGGGAGAGGTCTCTAATACAACCAAGGTCATTAATTACAGCTAAGGTCTGACTTAAATGTTGTACACATTTTTTTATCTTCACTTCTTGGTCTATATACATATCTCTCACCCTAATCATTACCTGAAATGGTCATCCATGCACAATTTCATAAGAACTCAACTGAATCCCACTTCGAGGAGCCACCCTTATCCTGAGCAAAGCAATAGCAAAACTTGATTCCAGTGGAGATGAGTTTCTTGACACAGCTTGGCTACATTTTTCTTCAAGGTGTGATTCATCTTTTCTACCTTCCCAGAAGCCTGAGCTCTCCATGTCGTGTGGAGTCTCCATTTGATTCCTAAAAACTTACTAACCTGTGTAATTTCTGAAATGAAAGCAGGTCCATTATCACTCTGGGTGCTACCAAGGAGGCCAAAGCGACAGAACATTTCCTTCAGTAAGGCTTTCACTACCTTGAGGATTTCTCCGTTCTAGTAGGATAGGCTTCCACCCATCCTGAAAAGGTGTCAACAAACACTAGCCAATATTTCCACCCTTGGACCCTTGGCATCTGGGTAAAGTCTATTTGCCAGTCCTCAGTTGGGCCCTGTCCTTGGTATTGCTTCCCTTCTTTCTTTTGATGGGGATCTGTCTTTGGGTTGTTCTTTTGGTACACAACATATCTAGCAATTACTTTTCACATGGCTTTAGAAATTCCAGGACCTGTGAGCCATGGTTTAATATAGGTGGTTAATGCATCTCTTCCAGAGTGTGTGGTCTCATGCAAATGCTTCATGGCTGGCTCTACTAAATGTTCAGGAAGGAGTGTGACTCCTTTCTTATTCTTTCTCCATCCGTTATCAGTTACTTCTTGATCAAACCTCAGCTCTCAGCTTTCTCTAAGTCTGCAGTGAAATATTCAGGGTCAAATTGTGACAAGTCTAGAACAGGTACTACAGGCATTTAAATACTCCTTTACCAGCCTTTTCCACTGCTCAATTGGCCAGATGTTTTTGTCTCTCGCCACTTCAGTGTCCTCTATCTGATGCCCCGTGCAGTGCATAACTGCCACCTGTAAACGTACCTGAACAGCATCTAATAATTTTAAAATTGCTGCTGCATGCTTAATTGCCTTTTTATTGGAGGTTAATGATTCTTTTTCCTTTCATATGGAACCACGTGATTGCAAAATTAGGAAAGCTTACCTTGAGTTGGTACACGCATTCACTCTCTTTCATGCGACAATTCCAGTGCACTTGTCAATGCAATCAGTTCAGCTTCCTGACCAGAGGTGGTAGTCAGGCCTTGGCCTCCACTACTCCTTCAAGAGTCACAACTGCATACCCAGCCTTTCTGTTTCCTTTGTCCATATAATTACTTCCATCTGCATAGAGAGTCCAATCTGCCTCTTCTAGAGGATGGTCCCGTAAATCAATTCTGCTAGAACTAACTTTATCTGTTATCTCAGCATGATCATGTATTAGTGCAGCTGACTCAGGCTCCAGGAGAAGAAAGGCAGGATTTAATTAACTTACAGTTTTGAAGGAGACATTGGGATTGTCAAGAAGAGTGGCTTGGTATCTGTCCATTCTTCCAACAGTGAGCCACAGATTTCCTTTTTGCTCCAGCAGGCTCAACACTTGGTGGGGTGCATGAATGGTGATAGGCTGTCCAAAGGAAAATTTTCAGCTTCTGATAAGAGTTCACAGGTGGCTGTCACAGCTCTCAAGCAGGCTGGCCACCCCTGGACAGTGTAATCTAGTTTCCTTGACAACCATTCGATGGGTTGCAATATGTAATAAGCAT